GACTCATAGAGACACCATGTGACCGTGTAGAGCTGCCCCATATGGGTTTCTAGGCTGTAATATTTAGAGAAGCAGATGGCCAGGGCTTGGTGGGAGTAGAATAATAAATAAAATTTCTTTTTTAGAGACACAAAACAGGTTCATCCGAAACCTATTTCAATGTTTTAAATGAATTCACTGCTTTTGGAGCAGTTGTATACTGCAGCTTTGAAAATCACAGTGAGGTTTATCCCAAGAAAGGATTAAGAAGATGTAGCCCTGTGTCCCTGTGTGGTTGAAATGAAGCTATCTTGGTGCACTCCCGTTTCCCTAAGGCACCGGCTTTAAATGCATTTATGTTCTGCTTCCTGTGCTTCCTGTGCTTCGCTGCTGCTTCCTTCCATGACAGCCTAGAGCCACAGATGGCTCACTGGAGCACAGGAAAATGCTGATCTTTATCTGTGAGTATGGCTAGCCAACCACCATCTGTCCAAGCAGTGTTTGTTCAGGGACTGATGGAGATACTATCCAGAACACCTCAATAATGTCAGCTGCATATAATGTTAGCCATAAAAATGTCAATGCGCAAAACAATTTATATTACTCCACTAAAACCTTCAAGATGCTTTCTCTGAGATAATATAAGAATGTTTACTTTATCAGGTTTACCCTGACTTGAGCTTCACTCTAAAGTTTAATAATTGTAGGGGAAATAATGTAGGATTCACTTGCTCATTTTTAATTAAGTAGATCTGGACCCAGACTTATTGCTTACTATGGGTTTATATTTCCAATATTTTTTTAAGCCAAAACCTGTTCTTTCTCTAAAGAAATAGCTCTTTTATATGAAGTTTTTCCAATCTGAACAAGGTTAGAGTGACATTTGTTCTTGGGCACAGGGAATGTCATTAGAGAGTGGCTGTAAAGATAAAGCTTCTGACACGCCTGACTGGTGAAGTAAGTGCTGATAGATAGAAGGTGTCTGGATGGTAGAAAAATGTGTAGTAACCAGAAAGATGATGGATTTATAACGCTCAACAACATTTCAAGGTTAACATGTCTTATACCAGCAAAAAAATTTTGAAATATTATTATTTACTTCATAATCACAGAGTTATCCCTTCTTTCTCCTGTTATATCTGCTGCTGGTGAAACGCCAAAATAGTAGTGTGATAATAGTACTTTTTTTGGCAAAAGACCCTTCATTTGTTAATATTCATCTTTACATTTTGCCAACAACATGTATGTTTATGTTTCTATTTTGCTATAGGAGGAGCAGCAGTACTGTGCAATTGTACTATGTTTAAACACTAAGGTGGGGGAATTAGAGCAATTATAACCATTTCCGGTACCACAAAAACACCCACTCACACATATAATATATTTATTTCAGTTATCTGAATGTTTTGGCCAGGATTATCTAATGATAAGGTTAGCTCTCCATTTTCTTTATTCTGTGTATACGTTTTATGAATTAAGCAATGTGCTCTATTACAGTTTTGTAAGTCAAACATGCTATTTGTGTGTGTATTATCAGTGTGATATTACCACAGTAATGCTGTGTAACAAACCATCTGAAATCCAGTGGCTTATAAATAACATTTATTCTCATCAGTTACGATCTACAGACTGGCTGACCTGCCCCTGTTCCAGACTGCAGGTTAGCTGGGTTCAGGTCTGTGCCACATGAATCCACTTTCTCTATGGACCAGCAGTTACCTGGGGCATGATCTCTTCATGGAGTCCAGGAGCAAAAGTGGCCAAACCAAACCATACAAGCACATTTAAGACCTCTGCCTACTTCATAACTACTAATACTCTATTGTCTAAAACAAGTCATAGGAACAAGCCTTATATGAAAGGGACAGAAAAATGTACTCAGTCCATCCTATACCCTGCAAAGAGAGGGAGTGAAGACAGAGGGACTGAAAAATGAAGAATGATCTAATCTACTACTCAATCTAGAGCAACCCAGGACAAAGATTTAAGGAGTCTCGTTCTGGGGTTCCCTGGAGGGAGGATTTATCTACCTTAGGACATCATCATCATTGCTATTATTGTTATAATTTAAGTGTATCTAATGATACTCACTGGATCCCTGGTGGCGCAGTGGTTAAGAGCTTGGCTGCTAACCAAAAATTTGGAAGTTTGAGTCCACCAGCTGCTCCTTGGAAACCCTATGGGGCAGTTCTACTCTGTCTTGTTTTCTTTTTTTTTTGGTTTATATATTTTATCACCAGTTATTTATTAATTGTTGCTAATAAATTAATAAGGGCAGAATGACAATTGTACTTGGGCATAGTGAGTACCATTAACCAAACCAAACTCAACTGCTGTCGACTCAATTCTGACTCATAGCGATCCCATAGGACAGAATAGAGCTGCCCCATAGGGTTTCCAAGGAGCGGCTGGTGGATTTGAACTGCCCGCCTTTTGATAAGCAGCCATAGCTCTCTACCACTATAGCTTGATTTTTTTAAATAACATTTAATTTTTGAAGCTAATATATTAATAGCAACATCATTTTCCTGTATGCAAAGTTTCAGCTCTTCATTGTCCCTTGCTCCCTCTAGCCCAGAAGATGGTAATATCCTCTTAACTGCTGTCATCTCCTCCAGTCTTATCCCCTTACATGTAAAATGCTGCTTTCAGATTAATTTTTAGATCAGACTTAATTAGAAAGTACATTCTGATCCTACCTTATTTTCCTTGTTTTAATTCCCATTATTCTTCTTTGAGTGCCATGTTGTTTTCTCAAACGGCATTATACTTTCCCAATCATATAATGTAAATCCTTGTCCATTGATCTTTGGTCATGAGATTCTTTCAGTCTGGAATTGCTACCACTAATCCCATTTGTGGACCTTCATAAACTGGAGTAAGTTCCCCTCCTTGTGAATTTCACGTTTCCTGTATGTTTTTGGCACTTATGTCCTACAGTGTGTCATCGTCACTATTTACCTATGTCTTGCCGCTGCTAATGGACTACCTAATTCATCTCTTCCCATTTCAACACTAAAGATAGTTCCTTGAATATTAGAAAAAATATTGAGTAAACAAATAAATTTATACCGTCAATACCCTAAGTAGTTGTTCTTCTTGGCTATGGATTTCAGTAAGCTTAGGTGGTTTCGTGAATTAACAATCAGTTCATATAGAATGAAAGCCATGCAAACTAGTCTTCAGGTCTGTTTCATATGAACAGAACCATTAGCAATATGTGGTCCAGCACTGTGCAGTACTTAGAGCTCACAATAAGTAATTTGTCCTAGATACTGTTGTTTTTGTTAGGTGCCATCGAGTCAGTTCTGACTCATAGAGACCTTATGCGCAACAGAATGAAACACTGCCTGGTCCTGCACCGTCTTCACAATCGTTGCTGTGTTTCAGCCCATTGTTGCAGCCACTGTGTCAATCCATCTCACTGAGGATCTTCCTCTTTTTAGCTAACCCTCTACCAAGCATGATGTCCTTCTCCAGGGACAGGTACCTCCTCATAACATTGCCAAAATACATAAGATGAAGTCTCGCTGTCCTCGCTTCTAAGGAGCATTCTGGCTGTACTTCTTCCAAGACAAATTTGTTTATTCTTCTGGCAGTCCATGGTATATTCCATATTCTTCACCAACACCATAATTTAAAGGCATCAATTCTTCTTTGGTCTTCCTTATTCATTGTTCAGTTTTCCCGTGCATATGAGTATCCTAAATACTGTCTATGAATATATCAGGGACTGGGCTTTCGAAGCATTTCAACTCCAGGAAATGCCTGACTGTGCAAATACTCTAGTTTTACCTGATTTAGAAGCTATGGACAAGGCAGCCTGCTAACCAATGCATCTACACTGAAACCACTCTGTACATTTAATACACATTGGGTCTGTAGTCAGAGCTGAGGATGGCTACCATTTTTACATTTCCTGCCAAGATCCAAGTACAAAGTCTTAGTGCCCGCTAATGTTGAAAGCAATCCTTTTATTGTTAGGATAAATAAATGGAATAAGACAAGTAGATGGAAGGCCAATGCCTGTGAAATTTAACTTTGGAACTAGTAACGGCCTATATTTGTATAGAATTTCATAGATGCTCTCTATGAACATTGCTTTGAGTACCTATTTAAACCCTATTCCCACTGGAGCTATTTTGGGTTTCATTCATCCTCATTGTTTCTTTCAAAATTGTCAATAAATTTTTCTTCTTTTATGCTTTTCTTACCTCATTTCTGAGACATCTGCTTAGGCAGTGGACTGGACAAAACTAAATCCTATGTTCTGAGGGGTTTGTTCTATTTCTTATTCATAACACAGCATTTAATTATCTTGAGAGTATTCTCCATCTCTCCTTAGCAATTTTATTTTGAATTTCAAAGTTTTTATTTCAAATTTGGTAGACTTTTTCCTCTAACACAGTTCTTCCACAGCTTCCCCTTCTTTTTGGAAAAGAAAAAATCAAATAAAGAGTATTGTTTAATATGAAATAAACTGCAGAATTAAATGCCTCCCAAGCACTTTCTATCAGACTATTTAAATAAATGGTTTATTAGGAGTCAGTTTTCTTGGGGTGTTGGGTAAAGTCTTCATACATTCAGTTTTCAATCTGATAGTGTTCATAAAAGTGGAACATAAAAGTAAGACATGTTCACCTTTTCCACCAGTTTTATTATGCAAAATATTTTGTATAAAATTGGATTTTTCAAGGATAGAAAAAGCTTTAATAAATCGTATCAGCAATTCTAAAAATGCGTATAGAAACAAATCAGGTTACTCACTTTTCTAAGCAACTGTGTGAATGAGATTGAGGCAATTGAAGTGTTGGAGACGAGAGAGGAGAGGAAATAAGTAATGAAGAAGCCAAAGTAAGTAGAAACACATATATAAGCCCACTGAAGCTTAGTGATGGATCTGATAATGTTCATAAAAGTGTAACAGAACTATAAATTGTATTCTTTTTAAAACCCTACAGATGAAATTTAAGATATCTCTTATTTGGTCTGTATAGTGATTTGTCTTTGTTTTAACACAGGGCCTCAACACGGATGTGGAGGTTATCTGACAGGTTCCAATTATACGTTTTCATCTCCTGATTCTGATTCAAATGGAAGATATGACAATAATTTAAACTGTGTATGGTTCATAAGTGCACCTGTAAACAAACTGATTAAACTCACCTTCAGTACATTTTCTCTGGAGGCAGCGACTACTTTGCAAAGATGCTTTTATGATTATGTAAAGGTAAGGCGATTATATTTCTTAACAGAGTCTACTAATCCCAGACTTTAATTATAGTGTATTCCAGTTTATACCATACAGGAAGTCCTGAAAATTGTGAGTACTACTTGTGTTTAAAATGACCTGCTTTTCAATGATGCAGTGCATAATATCACAGATGCTCTTCCTATTGAATGAATCTTTAATATAGATGACTCCAAAATTTTGTATGCCTTCTAACACTAGCTTCTAGTATCCCTCTGTCCATTAGTGCCTTGTCAAGAGAGGATTGGTGGGAAGAAGTGTTCTGTGGAGAGTACCTTTGAAAAATCCTAAAATAAATGACAATATTTGTAATGAAAATAACAACCTATTAGTTTATCTATTTCATAAGTTTATGTATTTACTTTTTATGTTACCTTTACATATAGGCAATATCTTAGTTCTGAAATCTCACTGACAGTGAATCAAGAAACTTCTGTATTCACTCAGCATAATGCCCTCGAGTGACTAGAGAAGTTTCTTGATTCACTGTCAGTGAGACTTCGGAACTAAGATATTGTCCATATATAAAGGTAACATAAGAAGTAAACATATAAACTTATGAAATTATGCTGAGTGAAATAAGTCAATCACGAAAGAACAAATACTGTATGAGACCATTATTATAAAAACTCATGAAAAGGTTTACACACAGAAAGAAACAATCTTTGATGGTTATGAAGGAGGGGAGGGGTGAGGAGAGAAAAACACCAACTAGACAATAGTTAAATGGTAACTTCGGTGAAGGTTAAGGTGGTACACAATACTAGGGAAACCAGCACAAACTGACCAAGGCAAGGGCATGGAAGCTTCATAGACGCATCCACACTCCCACAGGGATCGAATTACTGGGCTGAAGGTTGGGGACCATGGCCTCAGGGGACATCTAGCTCAACTGCCATAACATAGTTTATGAAGAAAATGTTCTACATCCTACTTTGGTGAGTAGTGTCAGAGGTCTTAAAAGCTTGTGAGCGGCCATCTAAAATACTCTACTGGTCTCACCCCATCTGGAATAAGGGAGAATGAAGAAAACCAAGACACAAGGGAAAGATTAGTCCAAAGGACCAATGGACCACAACTACTACAGCTTCCACCAGGCTGAGTCCAGCACAACTGGAAGGTGCCTGGCTATCACCACCAACTAGTCTAACAGGGATCACAACAGCAGGTCCCAGACAGAGCTAGAGAAAAACGTAAAAAAAAATAATAACTCACAAAAAAAGACCAGACTTACTGGCCTGACAGAGACTGGAGAACCCCAAGAGTGTGGCCCCTGGACACACTTTTAACTCAGTACTGAAGTCACTCCTGAGGTTCACCCTTCAGCCAAAGATTAGACAGTTCCATAAAACAAAATGAGACTAAATGGGCACACCAGCCCAGGGGCAAGGACAAGAAGGCAGGAGGAAAGAAGGGAGAGGAAAGCTGAACGAATAGAAATGGGGAACCCAAGGTTGAGAAGGAGTGTTGACATGTCGTGGGGTTGACCACCAATGTCACAAAACAATATGCGTATTAACTTTTAATGAGAAACTATTTGCTCTGTAAACCTTCACCTAAAGCGCAAAAAAAAAAAAAAATTCTCTATTTAAGTTTTTTAATGACTTTTTATATTATATTATTTCATTTATTAGGCAATATAATTTCAGATTACAAATGTTAAGTAGCATCAATCAATTCTTATTCACTGAGCTGGTACTACACTCTTGGAGGAAAAATATCAAGTATGGCAAGACCTCTATTCATGAGGAGGTTAAATCTGGTTGGAAAATTAAGGAATGACACATACAAATCAACAGTAAACATTTCAGAATAGTAAATATTTAAGTGCTAACTAGTGCATTAAACATAGGCTTGAAGCAATGTGAAAGTTTAAAAGGAGGAAAGTTAATGATAATTTGGCATGATCAAAAGACTTGATAAAGTGAAAGAGAGCTTATTCCAGTCAAGAGAGAAGGTATTCTACTCAAGGTAAACATTAAAAAAAAAAAAGATAGGGAAGTTGGAATGTGCATGTTCTCAGAAGAGTGAAGAGACTTTATTGGAGCAGAATATTGCTAACGAGTGGCAAGAGGTAAGATTACCTAAGTAGAGAAATACCCAGATTACAAAGACTTTTGAAAGTCAAGCTAATGAATTAGATTTTCACAGTTTATAATAAGGAGTGATTGAATATTTTCCAATGATGATATAATAAAAGCAGTATTTAAGGAAAATTAATCAGGAATCAGCATTCAGGGAGGATTGAAGGGAGAAGGGTCTGGAGTTAGGATTCCAGTGAGAGCTTCCTGTTAGGGAGGAAGATTCTTTTACAAAGGATGGGTGGTCAATACGATTAAATTGTAAATTGGAGGCCAAGAAAGGTTAAGATAACGAAAAACTCATTATATTGGCTGGCAACCATTTTAATAAAGTATTGGGACAAAAGCCAGATTAAAGGGAGTTCATGAAAGACTAGAGATAGCGAGGATTGTCAGTTCTGGTTGAATTCTTCTTTTCTAAAATGAGTCCAAAATGGCCAGAACAGCAATAAAACTAATACTCAAGAGTATTCAAGAGCTATCCTGGTTTCTCAGGAAAGTAATAAGCTGGACAGGCAGTTTGGGAATTCAATCCCAATTTTACCGCCAGATAAATTTCCTAATCTCCCTCAGGCTTCATCACTTTATTTAAAAAAATTTTTTTTAATCAAATAATAGTACATACCTTGTGAGGCTGTTTTTAGTATAAAGATAATGTATACTAGAGTGTTTAGCACTGTACCTGACACATAATTTGTAAATGAATTTCCTTGCCTTTTTTTTCTTTAGAATAATTCCAGATGGGCACAGAGGCTATGGAATTTCTTTTTCTTAAAATTTAAAGAACAATTAATTTATATGTAAATTCTTGTATGTTTCAATTCCTGTAAGATATTTTGGGTATAGTCCTGCTAGGAGGAGGATTGATTAGATTTACTCTCAAGATCCATTTCTATGAGTGTGATTTGATAGTGTCATTAAACAACTAGTAATTTTCTCAATTTCATTGAGGCATTCAGGACAGAAACAGCAATATCAAAAACAAGGAGTTGCTTTCCAGCCTCACAATAAAATGTCTTTTTTTTCCAAAGAAATTATGTTCAGATCTACTCTTGTTTTCCCTCTTGGGAAAACAATTTCCTTCAATTGGCAACTTTTCCAACTTCTACTAAACTGGCAGATCCAAAAACAGTCCTCGGAATGTGAATCATGGAGGTATTTTTATTAAAGAGATCCCTGGTGATAAATGGGACCTTTGACTTCTTTCAGATTGTTTCTTAGATATTATAATCAAATCATTTTCAGGAAAATTTAATTAAATTCTACAAATAAAAATATTCCAATTTCATTAATCATTCATAATTATGTTACTATCATTTTTGACAGGGTTGACTTGGAGAGTTATTAAGGTAACTACAGTACTTAGTGAATTGTGTATTTCACGGAGCAGTTGATGTTGAAATTAATGCCACTTACACCATCCCCTAATGAGTTACTTGGCATTGTTATATGCCAGGCATTGTACCCGGCACTGGAGCTGTGAAGAGTCAAAGATATGATCCCTCAAGGAGTTGTCAGTAGAGTGGAGGAGACTGACGTGTAAGCACAAAAATTATTGTGCAGCATGACAATAATGATAAATATGAACAACATAGAATAATAGAGCAGAAGGGGGCACAATTGACTCCATTTTGGGTTCAAGAAAGGCTTCCTAGAAGGTATGGCTGAGCTGGGTTTTAAAAAATAAATGGAACCTTACTCCGATTTGTAAATGGATTTATTCTCAAGATTCATTTCTGAGTGTGATTTGATAATCTACACAGAAAAAATTTTCTTCCACAAAATTTGGAGGAACATCACAAAAGCTTGCTTCCTGTGAGAAGCTGGCCACCAAAAAGAAGGAGGCAAGGAGTGACTTCGAGCTACATAATAATGAATGCTCAATTTCCTCACACCAGTTCCCCAGTCAGCTAAGTCAGTCCTACTGTAGGGAGCAGTGACTGAAGTGGCAAGGAGGAGTCAGGAGTCTGATGTTCCTCTGCTGGAAATATGGCCCCTTCCTAACATGTTCCAGCTTTTTCTCAACCTAGTCAAACCCAGTGCCCCTTTTAATAATCAATGTTTTATAATGCTTTGTTTAGCGTCTGGAGTGAAATCATATACAATAAAACCTACCTATACATAATTTCAAGAAAGTCAATGTAATGTACTAACTGACATAAAAAGGAAAATATATAAAATAGTGTGTATTTCAGTATGTAAGTACTCTGACACAACTACACTACATCACATAATAGTCAGATTCTCCCCCTAATACATGGACTCATGGTGGACATAGAAGTTCAAATTTAGAGTAATGTGGGTAAGTTGTAGTCACAGCTCAAATGCCAACAGCAGCATCACCATCTGCAACATGAATTTCCAAAATGGTGAGAAAACTCAAATAGTTCTAAACAAAACAAAGTACACTCCTCCGTCAACTTACATAGTAATTGGATTCCTGCAAATTCTGTGCATATTAAAACTGTGCAAATATATTTTTCGTGTTTATAGAATAGATTTAGGTTCTGGAATTCAAAAAAAAAAACAAAAACCCTTTTCACAAATGTCTGGCAGGACATTCAAAAGTTATGTGGGACATAGAATAAATCTTCACTTTGCAGAAATGTCCCATGAACTGCGAGATTAGCTTCTGAATGTGGCTTCTAACCACTAAATGCCAGTTATAACCCCAAATTATCGTGATGACACAAAAAAAAAACACCACACTTCTGCAAAACACTCTCTAGGGGTGGCATTGTCCCCATTGAGAACCTGTCTTAACCCTTTGGGTTTCTGTCCGTGGTCAGCTATTTGGAGGAGGGCTTGTCCATCTTTGGGAAGGAAATCAACAATCTGTCAAGGCATACCGTTCCTATCTTTATGAAGTAATATCTACTATTCATTCACGCATTCCAT